TCCGTTCAATTGTGAACCCACTTAAAGTATACTTAAAAGAATATTTATACTTACCCAAACTACTTATGCTCCCATTATTTGTGGTTAGGTAAAACTTTAGCTCTAAAACGTAAACTAAATTTAATCCGATCTGAAAGTTTACTATTTTTTTTCATACAATTTTTTATTTATTTTATTATTAAGCAACTCATTATTCTCCCCATCACCATATATAGTAGTTCCGATACAGTCCATAATACATAATTCAGTTTTTCCATAACCGCAAAACATTTATCATGCTTTCATGATGATGTTAAAAAATATTCCGTATATTGATTATAACATGAATTTGAGATTATTTAAAATTTATTAAATAAATGTGATGTCGCAATGATTTGTAATAGAAAAATCATTTATTTTAAGATCATGAACGAAGATGCTCTTATAATACCTAAATTCACTATATATGAGAGACAAAATTATTCCGTTCAATTGTGAACTCACTTAAAGTATACTTAAAAGAATATTTATACTTACCCAATCTAGTTATACTCCCATTATTTGTGATTATGTAAAACTTTAGCTCTAAAAACGTAAACTAAATTTAATCCGATCCGAAAGTTTACTGTTTTTTTTTCATACAATTTTTTATTTATTTTATTATTAAGCAATTCATTATTCTCTCCATCACCATATATAGTAGTTCCGATGCAGTTCATAATACATAATTCAGTTTTTCCATAACCGCAAAACATTTATCATGCTTTCATGATGATGTTAAACAATACTTCGTATATTGATTATAACATGAATAATAAAGAAAATATTGTGGGGTAGATTGAAATTTGTACATAAAAGAGAGAAATAATATGAATCACAAATCTAATTGATTTAAAAAATGTGGTGAACTTTTTGAATAAATTCAAAAAGAAAAAATGACAAAATATTAAGATTAAGGCATAGAGAGAGCATAACGTTTTTTTTGACATAAAACAGTCCAAGATTCACTTTTTAATGACAGTACTGATTTCATATACTATAATCTTTTTAGTGGCTCTATATAATATAACTAACCATGATAGTATTGAATTATTGATTAATTACTCCGTAATTAATAAGAAAAAAAATCATAAAAAAGAGCATCAAGCTAAGGAAAAAGAAGATTGCACTGTTTGCAGAGAACCACCGGCTCCAGCCGTTGGTGATAAAAATTGGCCAGCGTTTTTTAAGGAAGGGATTAATATAAGTAACGTAATAAAAGAAAATTAGCAAATTGTAATCCAATTATTATGAGGCCACGTGGCAGCAAAATAGCAAAGGAGTAAAATAAGGGGAGATTGACACGTTAGAATTTTAAGGGTAAAAAAGTATTTTGCACAGCCTATTCTTTTCTTATATATAAATAGACAACACGAGACCAATTTTGTTCACCCTCTCAAAAGAGGGTGATGTTCACCCCCACCCTAATTGTTTGCCATGTGGCAAGGCAACTCTTAACTATTTGACAATTGTTTTAACTTTTTAACTTTTAAATCTTTTGTTTTTTTAAACATATCAAAATTTTTATTTTTTAATGACCTTTCATATGGTATCAATATTGCATATAAAAAATTTTAAAAAAAATTCCACCAAGAAATGAATATTTATAAAAATGAATTTTTTGTCGAACTTTTTTTTATATACAATATTGATATCATTTGAAAGATCTTAAAAAGTTATTAAAACTGATGTATTTTTTTTAAAAAATTGGACAATAAATAAAAAGTTAAATTAATTTAAAGAAAAAAAGAGAAAAGAATTCCGCATGGCAACAAATGAAGGAAGAGGGTTATGTTCACCCTCCTTAAAGGGGTGAACAAAATTGCACTCCAACAACACACCTTTTAATTGTAGACCAATTAAACAATGTTGATTTGATTCGACACTCGAAGTCGAAATATAGATTTGAATTTGAATCAATGACAATTCAATCGAATAAGAATAAACGAAACTTTTGGCCAATAAATAAAATGTCCTCTTATTGCATTAAGAAATTGTGTTTTACAATAATGAGACCTTAATTTTAGAATTTTTGATCCGCCTAAAAAACCCACTCATCATTTTTATTCCATGAAATTTCAAACTACGAGTATACCCCTAAAAGAAAATAAATCGAAAACTGTGCAAGGGGGAGTGGGGGACGTCAACGACTCAACGTTACCCCTAAAAGTTAAAGGGAGAACAACGATACAGTAAACGCGGGAAGATCATTTTTTCACTTTTTTTAGAGAGAGAAAAGTCAATTTTTCACTTAAATGCTACGTAGTACGGAGTAATTGATACTCCCTCCGGTTCTTTTGATGACTTCACAGTTATTAAGGAAATAAAGTTGACTTTACTGTAGAGTACACTGTTGAGACACTGTTTGGCACTGTTTAGACACTGTTTGGCACTGTTTAGCACTGTTTAACACTGTTTTGACGTAGATTTCTTTGCTAAATAAGGAAAAAAGGAAGTGTGAAGTTTATTTTGGACCGTCCCAAAAAGGAAAGTGTGAAGTTTATTTAGAACCAGATGGAGTAATATTTCTTCTCGAGAATAAACATAACATGCTTATATGATGCTTCATCCAGCCTACAATTTTCTTTCCAATTAAACTTTCACTTTGTATGAAAGTATTTGAGTTGTTGAGTTTTATAAAAAAAGTAGGGACTTAAATGAAGAAAATTGTTGATATAGTGTCTAAATGTTTAAAGATTATAAATCAAAGATCTAAAGTACAATACATTTTGACTTCTTTAATTTTCTATTCATTTCATTAATAACTTTTTATTATTTTTTCTTCACACAAATTCATTAGTCTAATAAAATAATAAAGTTAAATGAAATAATTGTTGGGATATTAGGTCCGGCCCAATAACCGGCCCAAAATATCTTGAGGGCCCAAAAGCGCGGACAAACCCAAGAAGAACAAAGCGGAGCAAAGAGTTCCCGATCGGGATCTAACCAACCGGTGAAGAAGCCGTTCGGTACATCCCGAACGGCTCCTATTCCACACTTGGCAAATAATCAACGTCATTCTTGACTGATCACTTGGTGGGCCTAAAAACCGATCGAGAAGACTTGCAAGTAACAGTGTGCATTTAATGCTAGAGTATGGGGGCTACAAGTGGGAGCATGTGTACACAAGTGGCAAGGAAGGCAGCCAATCGAATTCGCCCACATCATACACCCACCTACCCACTCTATAGTATAAATAGGAGCATTTTGATACTCATTATCATATACTACACACTAGCTCTTGGATTAGCAAATAGACCGTAACTTCTGTTCGACCTTTTCTTTGTAATCATCACTATTACACTAATGCAATTGGAGCTATTGAGTGCCTGAGTCATTAATCTTTATTCTTGACCATTTTCCATTGGTGTTGGGCCTTTGGATCTTCGGGAATGAACCTCAACAATAATAATAAAATTCATGATGTTTTTGGTCATCTATTGATATTTGTACTTTTTAACCATTCAGACACTGTACAGACATATTTTATCTTTGGCTAAAGGGTCAAATAGGTACATGAACTAACTTAAAGTGTTCAATTAGCCCTTTATATAGGAGGTTCTGCCCGGCCGTCGCCAATTGGGGTGGTTCCCGGTTGAATTTTTTGATGAAATTTTTTGAGCATCTTCTTCATTAAGTCTAGTTTACCCATATCAAATTTCAGCTAAATATTAAATCGGGAAGGCAGTCAAATGATTTTCCGAAATGTACTGTGTTGTTTAACTGCGGAGTTATCTTCAAAAAATCATTTGACTGCCTTCCCGGTTGAATTTTTAGCTGAAATTTGGTATGGGTAAACTAGACTTAATGAAGAAGATGCCCAAAATATTTCATCAAAAAATTCCACTAGGAACCGGCCCAATTGGCGACAGCTGGGCAGAATCTCCTATATAAGGGACTAATTGAACACTTTAAGTTAGTTCATGTACCTATTTGACCCTTTAGCCTTTATCTTTCAGGTCTCTTATTCATAGGTAACCTACCATTCATGTCCTGAATTTATATAATTCTAAAAGAAATCCATTAGCAGCGAGCCAAGGAGACAAACTATTTTCTAATAAAAGTGCATAGAAAATTTTGGGAATTCTGAAAATATAAGATTTGAGAACTTTGATGGAATGAGTAATTTTTAATGAAATAACTCTCAATATATGATCAAAATAATAGGAATGAATAACTTTTAGTGTCAAATTTTACATCACAATGCCTATACAAGTATATATGTACACACTGCAACAAAAATATTGAACACAATCATAGTCATTAAAAGTTACCAAGTCTGATGCTTGATGTCTCTGGATAGTTGTAGCTTATCTTGTATCACCACTTTTGTCATAATGTCTCATGGATTCTCCTTTGTGTTGATCTTCAGTAGTCTCAATTGTTGTTGATCAATTGTCTCATGTATCCAGTTGTAATGAACATCAATTTCATTTGTATGGGAGTGGTACATGAAGTTCTTGCTCAACTCTAGAGCACTCTGAATATCACATTGTACGTTATACTCTTTGGGCTCAATCCCGTATTCTTGGAGATATTGCTTTATTTGTCGAAACATTTCTTCACCAGTTTCAGCAGCAAGAATGTCTTTTACTTTTGTTGTAGATAAAACAACACATTTCTGCAATCTTGATTGCTAAGAAGTAGTCCCTCCTGCAAAAGTGTGTAGAGTAGATATCCTGGAGTAGTCTTTCTACTATCAACACCTCAAGTCATATCAACATTTGTATGACCTTCCAAGTTTAGATCAGCTTCTCCACAGCAAAGACATAACTTCGTGGTTCCCTTCAAGTCCCTAGGAATCCATTTGACTGCCTCCCAATGTTCTTTCTCGAGGTTAGAGAGAAAACGGCCCACTATACCCATTACCTTAGTGATGTTTGGGCGTGTGCATACTATGACATACATCACACTTCTATGTGCTGAAGAAAAGGACACCATTGACATCTCATTGATCTTTTTTTTTTAAATAAAATGTACCAATTTAAGTTCATAATCTCCAAAATAACATGACACTGCCAAATCGAAATTTAGAAATGGCAAAAAAAAAACAGATCAAACACCTCTGAAATACTACAGGGGCAATTCTCAAGCTTCCAACTCCAAAACAAGTAACAAAACTTTCAATTTCAGACTTGGGGCTGCAACAGATTACAGTTTTGGGTTTAGATGATTCCAATCTTGTTTGCAACATCCAATGCATCGAAATCTGCAGTCAATCGCACATATGCTTTCTTCGGACCATCAAGCCTGATCAAAGTGTTGACCTTTTTGGTCTCAATTTCATACATTTTCTTGACCGCATTCTTAATTTTCTTCATGTCAGCACGGATATCAACAATGAAAACAAGGGTGTTGTTATCCTCAATCTTCTTCATTGCAAACTCTGTTGTCAAAGGATATTTAAGAATTTGGAAATGGTCAAGCTTGCACCTAGGAGTAGCACTAATCCGGGGGTATTTAGGGTTCCTTTCCTTTTTAAATGTCCTTGGCCTGTGGAAGGTGACTTTGGTGCGGATTTTCTTTCCCTTCTTCTTGAAGGTAGTCCCACCTTTCACGGCCTTGGCGACCTTTGCAGCCTGTACCTTTGGGTCAGCCTTTTTAGTAACATCACCTTTCGGGGCCATTGAGTTGCTTCGACCTCTGCTTACCTCAGTATATTAGACGAACTGCGGGGTGAAGACTGCGGACGACCGTCTGGTGAGATATGAGCGGTAGAGGAGACATCTCATTGATCTCTTCCTTGGATGTATGACATGTTTTTTTTGCTGAACAAGTAGTGATTCGCAAGTAAAACACTGACTGATATGACATCATTCATGATTAATCTCTCAAGTACCTGTTCAATGTATTTCTCTTGAAATAGCCATAACCTGCGATTCTTTCTATCTTGGGTGAACTTCATCCCAAGAATTTGATGATCTTGTCCTAAGTCTTAGAGAGAGCTTTCTTCAGTTGGTTTATCTTCAATGCATCTTTCCCGACGAATATCATGTCGTCTACATATAGTAGAAGAGCAATGAAGGTACCATCTACAAGGCTCTTATTGTATACTATACACACTCCTCCATGATAGTCTTCTTGTAGCATTGACACTTCATGCATGAGTAAACTTCTTATTCCATTGTCGTGATGCATGGTCCAGACTATACAAGCGTTTAGATAGTTCACACATGAGGTTATCTCTTAAAACTTCAAAAACTTCTCGTTGTTGCATTGATAAAGTATTTAATTCTAGAAAGAAGTGAGAGCTAGAGAGAGAAAGTGAACAATTAATATTTCTCAACCCCTAATAACTACCTCCAAGGAGAGTATTTATAGGAAAAAATGTGAATTTGGGCTCCTAGCCATTGGCTTAGGAGGCCCATTACAATAATCATGCCTTCTTTGGGCGAAATAAGACCACTAATGGGTTGAGTACAATACTTAGTAAATAAAGTATGAAAGTACATTCTGCCAAGATAATTCTTGGCCGATGCAGTGTCCTTTGGCCGACGTGGTCCTCTGGCCGATGCGGTCCACGGCCGATGAGGTCCACTTGGCCTCCGGGTAGTGTTTTGGGCCGATTCACCTTTTGGCCGTTGCGGGACCCACTAGGCCGAAGGGCGCCACGTGAGTGTCCCTCTGGTGTTGTTTGACCTTCTGAGTATGTGGACTATGGGGTCCAGGCTCATATACTCTATCATGCATATAGATCTATTCTTAAATCTTCTTGAAAAAAATATTGTCTCACATCCATTTGTTCAAGTTCCAAGTTTGCTGCTAAGCGAGATATAACTCGAATTGAAGTCACATAGGTTTTACTCTTTTAATCCATTTGCCAAATCAAAACATGAGTGTAATTTAAATCGGTGAAAGTATGGTTAAAGTGGGTGTGTTATGAGTGAATCTGCTAAAATGTGAGGAAAAAAAATTAAAAAAATAAAAATAAAGAAAGTTTTTTATGAAAAATATTACACAGTTACTCTAATTACTACACAATTCATCAGGCGTAATCAAAAGTAACGTGTTTCACTATTTCACTTGGTAAAAATTACTCGTTCTTGACCATGACTATTAATTTAAGATAAATTACTTTCTACGCATAACACCACTAAAAGTATAGTTGAGGGTGGTAACGAGTAACTTCAGAGTCAATGATTAGTGCGATAAAGTCAGAAGGGAAAATCGCACTTTCAGTCCTTAAAATAGTATTTACAAAATGTACTGCCCGACCTTTTATGTTTGTAAATGTCTGAGTGGTTATAAATGTGGTTTTTTTCGTCAAATCTAAATTAAAATTGTTAACTTCTACTCCGTATAACTTTCGACACGATTGGTGTCATAACTTCACACAGACCAAAAAATAACATTTTTTATAAAAAAACATTGCACCGATAATTTCGTCTCTAAAGTTTCACTATGGAAAAAAATGTCAATCGGAAAAACTTAATTTTACAGGCAATAAATGTTAGACACAGACAAAAAATGTTTCCTGAATGACCACAAAATTGTATTGTTTTTATACACATTGACAAAATTCTTTCCACAACAACATCCGGGCCTTAGTCCCAAAAGATATTGGGGTCGGCTAACATGAATCGATACATGATAACATCACCAAATTCTTTCCCGTCCCGTTAAAAGTACGCCACATACATAAAATGCCATTGGAAAATTTTAAAGTTTTCATACTATAAAAGTTTGGCACATATAAAAATTCTCTCACACAAGTTAAAAAAAATTATACATTTTGTACACATTTTTAAAATCTTTCACACTAATAGTTTTTGCCTATATAATGTACAGTATACTTTTTACGTTTGAAAACACATATCTATGATATACGTTTATAGTGTGTAAAATTGGATTTTCTGATTGATTTATATTGTCTGTGTTCTACGCATACCTTAAAATTTAGGGTGGAAACGATTTTGAAATGTGTAGAAAAACGATATTAATGTTTCAATTTTGGAAACACTTTTTGTCCGCAAATTATACCGTACGACCGGTATACCATGCGCATGGTATACCGGTCCAATACGGCACCGTTTCAATTAATAAAAACAAGCTCACACGCTCGATCTCTGTTCTTCTCCGTCACTCCAAATCTGCAAACCTCGTTTTTTTCCTCCATCACGGTTCGCACGCTCCTATCTACAAGTCTGCAAAAGACTCTCAATCGGCCCCATTCCTCCAAGTCTGCAAAACTCTCACGTAGTGTGTTTGACAACAAAATTCATTTATTTTATGTTTCCACAAGACCACAACCAGATCAAACACAAAAATATACTTCGTATATAATATAAATACATTAAAGAGATGAGAATGAAATTAACCTCAAGCTAAGCTTTTTATCTTACAATTTACACTTTATCAAATAGTCTGTTATTTGTTTTCTTTGCTGATATTATAGAGTTACATGTCACATACACTGGAATTACATTTCGTTTTGGCTAAAGTTACATCTTGTAACACACAATTCACATTTCAATTTTTCTCAATAAGTTACATCTTGATTACACTTCATTTACATTTGGCATATTGCGAGTTACACCACAAAACAATGCGAGTTACACAACAAAATAAACCTATGTTATTCAATCAAAAATGATTTTCTTATTAAAAACATTTTTAATGGGCCTAATATTAAAAACAAAACATATGCACTTTTATGTAAAATAATTGGACAATTAGACTCCTTTTTTTTCATTAAACATGAGTTACATTTCAGGACACAAGTTACATTAGTTGTTAACTGAAGTTACATTTGTAACTACACGAGTTACATTTCATTACATACGAGTTACATCTCATTACATATGAGTTACATCATTCTGCTCCTGGATAATGAAAAATTAAAAAAAAAAGGTTACTGTTCACGCGCGCGTGAACAGTAACACGCGATTTTTCAACATGCTTCAAACGATGTCGTTTTATACTTAGGAGCATGATGCTCACGGTGGATCGGTTGTACCGTATACGAACTGCTTTTTGTCAGTGTTAGACATTTATTGCATATAAAATTGGATTTTTCTGATCCATCTCTTTTATCTGTGACGTAACTTGAGAGTCGAAATTATCGGTGCGAAAAATTTTCAAATCATTACGGAGTATTGTTTTTACTGAAGTTATAACCCTAACCGTGTCAAATCGTATAAAAGTTAATGGTGTTAGTTCGTATTTGACGATGAGAACCACATTTATACGAGCTCAAAACCACGGAATTCGCAAATTATACAGTGCAACCGGCGTACCGTGCATGCGCATGGTATGCAAGTTGCTAATACAGTACCGTTTTTTTCTTTTTTCATGCTTCCAAAAGTTCAAAAGCCTAAATTACGGAAGTCTTCTTTCTCCCAGGTAAGTACTTCCTTTCTCTTTATTGTTCTTTTCTATTTTCTTTAATTCTTTTCTCTTTAACATCAAATACTAAAAATATATTTGTGATTTTACTGATCTTTATCTTTAACTAATTAAAATATAAATGAATTTACATTTTTTTCTTTACCAAATTATTACAAAATTTTATTAATCCACATAAAATAAGTGTATTGTGATACATTTTATATTTTATTAATCCACATAAAAAGCATATTTTATTAATCCACATAATAATTGAATGAGATATTACCCAAAATGGGAGTAAAAAAGTTTGGAAATTCCAAAGTAGGACTTCCATGTTTTTATTCCCAAAATAGGACTAATTACTGTCATGTTTTGGCAGTACCAGACATCAAACATGACAGTATTTTCCAAATTTGGCAGTAACTAATCCTATTTTGGGAATAAAAACATGACAGTCCTATTTTGGAATTTTCAAACTTTTTTTAGTCCCATTTCGGGAACTTTCCCTAATTGAATCTATTTTTTTTATTCTCTATCAATGCATAACAAAAAGTTTATAAATCTAAATAAAATAAGTATATTCCATCATTCAGCTCCTAGACAATGAAATCACATCTTCTTCTGCGCAAGTTACATATTAATGTACGCGAGTTACATCTAAATATACGTGAGTTACATCTTAATGTATGGGAGTTACACCACTGAATATAATAAACTCCAGCTATATCATTTTTATTGCCCTAATATTAAAACTAAAGCATATTCACTATTTATAAAAAGTAATTAAGCTATTAGGATCAATTTTTCATTGTTTACATTGAAATCAATGTTTATAATATCTCAAACAAAAAAAATCATTGTTCAACTTTCCAACAAGTTACATTTTGTATACACCCAAGTTACATTTGGCATCAACGTGAGTTACATTTGTAATAACATGAGTTACATTACAAAATCAACCCCTGCTATTGAAACAAAAAAATGATCTTTTCTAAAAAATTATTTTTTATAGCCATGATATTAAAAACAAAACATATTCACGTGTTACCTAAAACAATTGTATAATTAGACTTTTTTTTTCATTATTTACATTGAAATCAATATTTGACAAGTTACATTTTTTATGGGTTTGAGTTACATTGATCAATAACGCGAGTTACATATCTTTACACACGAGTTACACCATCTATGTTACTGGGACAAAAAAAAGTCACTGTACATGCGTGTACTGTTCACGCGTTTTTTTTTTTAAAATTGTCCAAAACTACATTGTTTTGGGGGTGGAAGTACAGTTCTCATGGTGGGACGCGGTTGTATGGTATACGAACTGACGGAGATTACATTCCAATGTGAGTATGATTTGAGGGAGTGAAAGTGTGATTGGAATTAAGTAATGCTAACAAAAAAATTATAAATGGAATAAAACA